CTGAAGAAAAAAGATCACATTTATTTAAAAAAGTAATCATAAAAAAGTGTGATTGAAAAATTTCATTTTCGTTACTGAATTCTCAATGACTTATCACTAATTTCTAGAAATCAATCACCAAATTTCAGTGAAGTTTCGGTGAATTATGTGAAATGTCTCTGAAAAGCAAAAATAATTTTTCTGTGTTTCCTTGACATTATTTTGATCATTAGAATTCAATAAAGCCCTTAAGTTACAGTATTTGATCGAAGAAGGAGTTTTTGGCGATCCTGCTGCTGCTTCATTGGAGAATATTTCATTTCCATTTTCTTCAAATATCACATCACCAATCAACTCCTCCTCATCAGTAAATAAATCCTCCTCACTGCCTAACTCTTCATCACTATCAGGAATTATACGATTTTGGCTCATTTTATCTGCTTCGAAAATCACCTTTTCATTTTTCAGTCATTCCATTCACTATTCGGAGGTTAGATTTCCTTCCTTGTTATTCTTTCATCGAATATGACTGTTTTCTCGTTTTATCGTTTTGAATCTCCCGCGTAAAGCACCCCCTGTTGCTTGTCTCTGAGTTTTTCTCTATTGCTTTTTTTCCACGCACCTGGTCTCCCCATGAGCTTTTCCACCCTCAGTCCTTAGCGAGTAGTCAATAAGAGAAGGTCAAGTTAATGTCACGACTGAGTGGAGTTGAGTTGGAAAAAGTAATGGGGAGAATTGTGTTCAATACCCGTGCCTTAATCACAGAATTAAAATAATTTTAAAAAATGACAGTTTAAAAAAAAGAAAAAACTATGAATGGGAGAAAATAAACAGTTCAAAGTTTGAAAATTCATGGAATGTGACCTTGACACGTGTATCGATGGAAACTGAATTTTTCATAAACAAAAAGTACAAATAAATCCTCAAGAGAACAGTGGAAACAGTAAAAGGAAATGGATTAGGGGTGGAAAATCGATAAATGTGAATTTAAATAAAATTTAGAATATACAAGCTGTCCAACAATAAATTAATAGTGAGCCGTACAATAATAAATGTTTAATGTTAATGAAGCTGCGAATAACTGGATGGAAGAAAGCTGAGGATAATATTAATTATAAATGAAAAAATTATAAACAAAAATTATAAACAATAAAAATTTGATTTGAAGAATATTTAAATAAAAAAATTTCTACGATGAAAAATTGAAATATTGTATATGTATACAAGACCATGAAAGAACCACAATTTACACAAATTAATCAAAACAATCACGTTTTAACGAGACTAGTGCAAAAAAAGACTTTGGAAAATGGAATAAAATTTTCAATTGCAGTGCTCAAGTCAAAAAAAAAAAATTTTAAAAACTCATACAATCAAACTTAACTTAGAAAATAAAAAGATATCAACCAAACAGTTACTAAAAAAAGAATTTTATCGACCAAAAATGCCGAATATACTTTTAAAATTTGTTTCGAAAAATAAAATATCGAATCAAACCAAAATTTTTAAACTCAAATTATGAAAATCACTCCATTATTGACCAAAAACTGAAAAAAATCTACAAATTAATCCCACTTAACAATAATTAAAAAATCAAAAACTGTCGAGACGATAAAAAAACTCGAATGCTCCCCTAGAAATCTCAACTTTTGCTGTTGAACCCCTCCCTCCAAAAACCCACCGCTCCTCTTCCCCCCAACCCACCCCCCTTCCACACCAAAAAAACTATCCACCACCTGACCTCCCAGCCCATCCCCAACCCCCTGACTACCGTCCCAACCAGAAAATGTAAACCTATCTTCCGCCCTCCACTCTCTCCCCCAGAAATGTCATCCCTCGCCCCTCCCCCTCTCAGCCTCCCACGGCTCTGCACGACGCACCTGATCCTGACCCTCTTCTCCCTCCCGGACATAAAATGCCAGTTAAAATGGCTCTTGCTCTCTCAAAACCGACGTGACTACGAAAAAAAGTCCTCGGCCCTTCTCCAGCGGCTCCAGAAAAAGCTGTCTCTGCTTCACCTCCCCCTCCCTCTGTACACCTCCCTCCTCTTCTCCCTCCACTCGATGACTCAGAAGCTCGTCCTGTACCTGAAACCGATCGCCTGGAGCCTCCAGAAGGCCTTCCTGACCGCGCCTCCGCCCCCTATTCCCCAGTCCTGCCCCTCCATTACCCCCTCGCAACCCTTGAATCCCCCCTCCTGCCCCCCTATTCCCCGCTTTTACCCCTCGATCACCCCCTCCCGGCCCTTGAATCCTCCCTCGCGCCCCCCTATTC